CAGAGGTGTCTTACCATATAGAAAATATGTATACATTTTAGGTGACTCAAAATGGGCACTGTTTAATTCTGAAACAACTTTGACCTTGTGTTAATCCTTGTATTAATTAGATGAAAAAAAAGCTACTCCAGTTTTGGTTGATGAGAAAACTCTTGAGTTCCAGTTGTGTCAGATCATTAATTATAGAGCACAATATATATTCATGATACTGGAAAAAATTAACAAGGAGCAATGTCTATTTTATTATGCAAATTTATCATCTGATAGAATGGGATTCCACTTAAAGTTTGGAAATAACAGCATGATATAGTTGACAAAGGGCGTGATTTGGAGTCAGAAGATGTGAATTTCAAGCCTCGATGCACATATGTTGACTGATTAAACTTGAGGAAGTTACTTCTTCCCTTTTTCCTTCATGGACAAAAATGACTTAAAATACCAACATTACAAGGTTAGTGATTTTTAACCTCACCTTGGCCATTTGAATATATTAACTGTTTAATTCCATAAAGATATATTTTTTAAAAAAACAGCAGGTAGCAATCTTAAGAAAAACATCAAAATCTTAAGGTCAAAAAATGGCAAAAAAATGATCTTTCGAATTTGCAGCCAAATTGACTTTAAAAGCAACTTCAACAAGTATTTGTACATGTCTCAGGAAGTAAACTTCACAGAAAACCTTGGAAGAGTTTAATGATATAAAAGAGCAGTAGAAATTACTCATCATGACTGGTTATCAGATGAAATGTGCCATTTAAAATTCTTTTCTCCCTTTTTTTTCTATTTTTATTTATTTATTTATTTATTTTGCCATTAGAACTTCATTTTAATGTTCAAATTTATGTTTTTTCTTTTGTGCTCAGCAGTATGATGCAACCATGTTTTCATTTTATTAAAATAAGTTTCCACAACTTGCATTACTTCTATAATTTCATGAAAATTATTTTTCAATTTAGTTGTAATCAAAAACTATTTGAACCCATGGTGGAAATCATAGTCAGTTTGTGAATTTTTGACTAGTTCAAACAGAATAGGAAACAAGTGTGTTACTAGCCTATAAGAATCATTTCTGTGGATTTCAAAAGAGTGGGCACTTTAATTTGGTTATACAGACTATAAGTCTGTGAGAAGTCAAGTTTGAAAGAAAGAAGGGTTCAAGGTTGAATCAAAATGTAGCTAATATTATTGGTCCTCTGGTTGTTGATCTTCATGTATCTGCTAAAATGTCCTGGTGAGAACCTGACCCTGAATTTGTTCTCAGAATTTGCCTTTGAGTGGAGAAGTGATTTATCCCCCTAGTCATACATTTTGTTAGCATTAACTACACAGTGACAGTAAGTTTGATTTATAAGTAGGGAAAATAAAGAACAATTTTCCTGAGGGAAATTTTGAATAAAACAGATAATTACCATAAAATACTCAAAATTATTGTTAATCTGCCATGAAAATTTAGTCCTTGGTGACAAAATATATGCACATATTAAATTTTTCAAATTTTTCTTTTTTTGAAATCTTATTAGTCTTTAGGAAAAAATAAGAATCGAGGCAAAAAGCTTAACAATGGGGTAATGATTTATTAGAATGTGGCATGTCTACTTGAAGGAGTGTACTCCAGCAATTAAAATAAACATTAGCAAGCTTGAGAAATGCTTTTAATACAAACCAAAGTGCCTGAATACATGACTATGCATACATTATGTTTTCAAGTTCGTAAAAATTATGGATGTTTATATAAAAAAAGATTGAAGTGTTTTAAAATGAACCTTGGGGAAAAGAGAATTATATATTTGGCTTCATGATAAAACATTATCTATTTGACCAAAAGCATTAGGAGAAAAGCTATTCAGACCAAATAACATTAGGAAAAATGAAGAACTATTAAAGGAAAAAAAAGGGACTATAAGTCTAAGAGTGAAAGAAATGAAAAATAAAGCAAAGATAAGAGGAAGAAAAAAAATTATAAGATTTTAGCTGAATCTTGAGATTTGGATTCCAAATAATTGTATTGGATTTCCTTTTTCATTGCAGATCTATAATTTTAAGTTAACTATTTCCTTTTTCTTGACACTGTTTGCAATCTATTTCTTTGTAGAGGCAAACTTCTTTGGTTTACTGTAGATAGAGTTCTGATGAGAAAGCTAATGTTCATCTCCTCCCACTGCCTTCCATCTGCTTCCCTGGGTTAGAAGAGTCCTATGCCCTGTCTCACAATCCCAGAGGGCCTGGCTCGCTTCCTTGTTTTATGTTGTCATGCATTAGGACAACTCCCAGTCTTCCTTCCCTTTATTTCTGATATACTCAAGGGTACCCAATGAAAGTTAAGAAAGTCTCCATTGCCATTCAATGTTGTAGAATTAAAATTTATGCTCTTATGTGAGGTACCCATTGTTTTGTGAATTACATATCCCATTAAAATATGTAAGTTGTGAGAGCTGTCTTCCCATAAGAGTGGCACAATGAATTGATAAAACCTCACCTGATTCCTTGGTGAGAAAAGTCGTCTCCCATTGAAACAACTCACCAAAATATTCAGAGGACAAGGGCCACTTTCTATAGGCATTCAGTATGTTATTAAAATGTATGCTACAGACTAGAAGTGCATCACAAATACAATGAACAAAAGCAGATCTCTTTTCTCAAGACCAGTGTAGCTCAACACAGGAGTCTTTGGAATCCTTGGCTGAGGAATGCAATACAAAACATCGACAAACATTTCAGTCTTCTATAAAATATTATTGGAGTGAATTATAATATTGAAGTAGCAATTGCTTGGCCTGCATTTCCATTATAGTATTCTTATATATATATTATAATATATTTTTTATTATGCATCAGAGATTTTCTTAACCCAATTTATAGATTCACTTATTTAATGAACCTGCTAAATTACGCATGCATGGCCTGAGGAAATGGCTTCTCCAAAGAGCTTAGCTTTCACCTCCACGGGTAACTTTTACCCTGGAAAATATGAGTCAATTGCCATATTTCCTTTCCCCTCAATAGTTTTGTGTATCATAGTTCATGCAAAATGCCTTCATGTTTTGGCTCACTGACTTAAGGAGCTCTGTGAATTCAACTTATAAATAACTAATGCAGACCTTGTTTTGTGATTGAAAAAAGGGGCAGGTTTCCTTGACCCTTTTGATTTTGAAATCCCTGGTGGTGGGGATGATATTCATAACCCCTTTCAGACTCATCTTGCCTATATATACTCTTTGAAGTAAACTGTGCTGTGCTGATACCCATAACCTGTTCTGTGCTAGCCATCCTTTGTCTCTAATGGACTTTGCTTATTCACAGAGGATGCCCCTTCTCTTGAACTCTGTCTCATTTCACTTCTTTTCCATTTCAGATATCTCCTGGCTTTTCCCCAAAAATGTTTCCAAATTGTTTTTGGACACTTTAGCTGTCTAACATAGAAGATATTCTTAGTACTAAAGAATTGCTTTAAATTTGTTTATATATTGCCTTTCTGCCAGAGTGTAATAGTTTGAATTTTTTTGAATACTTGAAAATTAGCCTATCTTAAATTTATTATAGTTCATATATTTTTCAAAACAAGATTATCACATTTTCAGATGTATGTGTAAACAAGATGTAATTTTATGAAACAACCTCTTAKAAATATTGTCTTTTTCCATATKTTTATTGGTGCTTTATGATTATACATAATGGTGGGACTTGTTATTACATATTTGTTCATGCACACTGTGTAACAATATAATTTGGCCATTATCGTCTTTCAGTATTTCTGTTAGAAATTATAGGGTATTTTTATTGKTTTTTTTTCCTGTTCTAGTTTTCTCATTTCTGACCTTTATATTGGATTATTTTTATTGACTGTTTTAAAGCAATTACGAAACTAGAATTCATATCATGGTGTCACAATAAAAAATATAACAATCATAATTCTAAGTCAATAATGTTGTTTTCTTTATATTGGAAAACATAATTACACATCTTGTTGTTTGCCAAATAGTTTCAAAAATAAATGAGTAAAATGTATCCCAGTATATTTTCTCTGATCTTTTATGTGTCTCAAATATGCTGTCATGTAAAATTTTGTTGTATATGAGTATGCAGTATAAATAATAGGAGGCTTTTAATCCTTTGAAGTATATATTTCTATAAATGAGTTTATATTCTTTCACCTTCATCCCTTTTATTGTTTAATTATCATTAAATGGTGTGGGGAATATAATTTCTCACATTTTAGTAAAAGTAGGAGATTATTGATTTGGGGGGGGTAGAAGAATTTTCTGTAGTTACTATACATATATCTCTACTCTCAGTTTGCATATCCAATAAATGATCAGGATGATAAAATATATCCTGGCAAATATTTCCCACTAGTGCTTTAGTCAACAAAATTGGGTCCTCACCCTAGTTCTATTTTATCCAAACCTTTTATATATAGTTGGAGGAGGCTTGATTACTTAAAAAGTCCTTAGAGAGAGGTATGGAACCATATTGATTTGTCTCAGAGTTGTTTTCTTTAAGCTGGTTTTATTTCTATTTGTTTTATTTCTATTTGTTTTCCTCTGGGCTCTGTTTTCTGATCAGAAGATCATTTTCTTTATTTTGTTCCTGATTCTGCATAATCGTTCCTATTTTCAAGCTAGTGTGCTAATAAGTGTCTGAGGTGTAAAAGGAAGATTTCTGTTCATGAGAAGGGTAAATTGGTTTATCCAAGCAAAGAAATATATTTGGGAACAAAGGTCAGTGTAATTTCAACAAATTGCCCGGTACTATTAGAGCAAAGCTCCTTGTCTTTTCATTCCTTACAAATGAGTTCATATTGGGGTCATATTCTAATGTCCAGAAAGCATAGTGTATATTTGCATCCTATTTCTTTGTGAAAAATAAATCTGCCAATAAACAGCTTTTCTGAATATTAAACAACAGAAAAAAAATATTGTAAAATTTTACCAGAACATTCTTTTCATCATCTCAAACATTTAGGCTTCAAACTAACTTGGTCCCATTTGTGTCTTGTGAAGGTTGTTTGATTACCATGGGCGTGTGCCTCCACCTCCCCGTGCGGTGATCCCACTGAAGCGTCCCAGAGTGGCTGTCACGACAACTCGCCGAGGGAAAGGAGTCTTTTCAATGAAAGGGGGATCAAGATCTGCTGTCAGTGGGTCTTCCTCCTCAGGCTCTAAGTGTAAGTAACGTTCTTTATTTCCTTTTAAATAAAAGTAGGAATAACCATCACTGTATAACTGTCGATAGTCCATAAATTAAAGAGGCAACCACCAGAGAGACATAAAACAGGGATGGAATGACATCTGCTTTTCTGTGAAGCAGGGGAGCAGACTCCAACATGCTGACAAAGGTTCTGGACCAATCTGAAAAGAACTGTAAAGGTATCTTACCCCAATGTACTCTCAGCTGATTTAGCTTGTGATTTATTAAAGTCCTGAAATAAAATATATTGCTTTTTAATGAGGTAACAATTTCACTTGAAAACAGAACACATATACCATCTTTTCAGAGATGTTTTATGCAAAATTTGAGTTTGTTTTGAATATTTGAGCATAAAGATAATTAAAAGGGGCAGACTACATGATAGCCACGTTAACAAACAAAACTTACCCTGTATTCTAAATCATTATAAGGGTACATGTCTGAAAATACACTTAGTATCACAAAAAAAAAACACTATGTACATAACTCCACATGAATCAGAAAAAGGAGAAATGCAAACTTTCTAACTAAACACATTGCTAAATTTCTATCTAGACGGATTCAGAAAAAAAACTCTAAACTGGTATTAGAATAGTATCCTAAAGAAAGAACCACACCATTTTCTGTGTTCCTTAATATTACATGTTAGCAGAGCAGAAGTAAACAGCACACATGTATCTCACTGTTATTTAAAAAATGAAAATACAGAGACACGCAGGAGTGCTATATTTCACTGGAAGATACAATGACTACCTGTGGTTATTCACAGATGGAAACCTGAAGAAACTGAGTGAGCAAGAGAGAGGGATCCCTGACATTATCGGGCACTGTTCTGAGCAAATGGTCAGTGCAGAGACCTTAAGTTGGCATAGTTAAGAACAACAGAGCTAGTGTGGCTGCAGAGAGCCAGGTGGGGAAGTAGAACTGCAGATATGATCAGAGAGCAAGTTCCAGAACAGCCTGGTAAGGATGTTGGGTGTATGTATTCTGCCAAACCTTCAGAACAAGTGAGACAGATGTTTTTACCCCATTTTTATTAATGAGCAAACATAGAAGGTTATGTAACTAGTAGATGGTAGAGTCAGAACTATCTGTATCAGAAATACTAAGCATCATTATCAAAATAATTTCCTTTTACATGAAAATGGGCAAAGAAAAAAATAGTTCAGAAAAGAGAAAGGTACTGATGCTTCTAGAAACTCTCAACTTTGGCCTGCTAAGAGTTTCACTGAGAATTTAACTCAGCTAATATAACCTCAATGGCAAACTAAATAAATTTGCAGTTCTCTATGCACTTATTTATCCAGTCTATTCTGTAGATAGATAAATATGAATTCTTTTTCGAGTCTAGTAATAAGAGAAAATGAGTTTCTGCTGTAGTTTCCACACACTCTAATATACTCTCGGATTACTGTTAAGAGCAAAGAGAGCTGCGGAACTTGGTTCTTGTTGTGAAAAATTGAACACTGAATTTCCTGCTAGGTTTATAGAAGACTGTTTTACCATTGGTGGTATTAACTTCAAATGGAAATATCTAAAGCATCACGGATTGTTTGTCTTGTGGTCATCTTAAAATAGTATTTAACAACAAAAKCATTATTGGCATTTTGCTGGATAGTTCTATATTGTGTAAGAGTATTCCTATTGGGAAGTTATACTCCATGTATTAGAATAAATTCTAATGTTATATATAACTAAAAATTAATTAAAAATTGAATAAAAAGAGTATCCTGAGCTCTGCAGAGCATTTAGCATCCCTGACCCCCAAACCTTAAATAGCAGTAGGATTCTTCAATGTTTTATAACTATAAACACGCCTATACATTTCTAAGTATTCCCTGTGGACATGTTACCAACCAAATTTAGAGTCACTGATGTAGAAAAATACTTGCCTTACCTTGAGGCCATTTTCTAGAAGGTTCAGTAATATAAGACTCAATCCTCAGTTGTCATGTACTCCAGTACATTACTGAGAAGAGTAGCAACTTCCAGAGGTTATTTCAAAGTAAATATCTCAACATTCAAACGGTTAAAATTTTGKACTTCATTTTTTGATTTCTAGTCTTATAGTGTCATTACTAGAGAATGAGAACTTTAAAAATATCCTTTTATAATTTTATTAAGAATWTCTTGTTTCCATATTAATAAGATTTTATAAATGAACATGCAAACAGAATATATTTTCTGCTTTAATATAGAACTGAGTATGGAGTGTTAGATTGTTGGTTGTATTATCTAAATTAGACTTGTTTTTCTGTAGCAAATTTATCATGATAGAGATTTTACATAGATTTTTTTTTCTTAAGGCTTTGTTTTATATGCCACATCCCTTGGATGATTTATATAATTGTTTATAATAATAATGATAATATAAGAAGAAGAAGAAGAAAAGTAATAGCTACCATTTTTTAGTGTTATGATGGCTATTATTTTGAGCACTTCGCATATCAATTTATTTATTCTTCACAAATACCCCTGTAAGTGAGCTATTCTTTTTCCTATTTGTTCTTTTTAGTTATACATGACAGTAGAATATATTTTGACATATCAGACATACATGGAGTACAACTTCTCATTCTTGCAGTTGTACATCATGTGGACTTACATTGGTCATGTAATCATATTTGAACATAGGAAAATTATGTCCAATTCATTCTACTGTCTTTCCCATTCCCATCACCCCTCTCTTCCCCCATTTCCCCCCCCCATCCAATCAGGTATATCTCTACTCCCCCCACCACCTATTGTGAGTCAGCATCTTCATAGCAGTGAGAACATTTGGCCTTTGGTTTTGGGGGATTGGCTTATTTCATTTAGCATGATAGACTCCAGTTTCACCTTTTACAGGCAAGGACTATAATTTCATTTTTCTTTATGGCCAAGTAATATTCCATTGTGTATATATACCTCATTTTCATATATACATTCATCTACTGAAAGGCACCTAGGTTGGTTCCATAGCATAGCTATTGTGAATTGAGCTGACATGAACATTGATGTTGCCATGTCACTACAGTATGCTGATTTTAAGTTGTCTGGGTATATGCCAAGGAGTGGGATAACTTGGTCAAATGGTGGTTCCATTCCAGTTTTCTAAGGAATCTCCATTCTGCTTTCCAGAGTGGTTGCAACAATTTTCAGTCCCACCAGCAATATATAAGTGTGCCTTTTCCCCACATCCTCTTCAATATTTATTATTGCCAGTATTTTTGATAATTGCCATTCTGATTGGAGTGAGATGAAATCTTAGTTTTCATTTGCATTTCTCTAGTTGCTAGATATGTTGAACATTTTTTTTTTCATACATTTGTTAACCATTCATATTTCTTCTGTGAAGTGCTTGTTCAGTTCCTTTGCCCATTAATTAATTGGGTTATTTGGTTTTTTTGGTGTTAAATGTTTTGAGTTCTTTATGTATCCTAGAGATTAATTCTCTATCTGAGGTGCAGGTGGCAAAGATTTTCTCCCATTCTGAAGGCTCTCTGTTCATGTTCTTGATTGTTTTATTTACAACAAAGAAGATTTTTAGTGTGATACAATCCCACTTATTTATTCTTGATTTTATTTCTTGCACTTTAAGACTGTTATTAGGGAATTTGGTTCCTAAGCCAACATGATGAAGATTTGGGCCTACTTTTTTCTTCTATTTGGGGCAAGGTCTCAGGTATAATACCTAGGTTCTTGATCCACTTGAGTTGAGTCTTGTGCAGGGTGAGAGATAGGGGCCTATTTTCATTTTATTACACATGGATTTCCAGTTTCTAAATGGAGAAAAATTGGAAGCTTTCCCTCTAAAAGCTGAAACAAGACAGGGATCCCCTTTTTCACCACTTCTCATCAACGTAGTCCTGGAAATTCTAGCCAGAGCAATTAGACAGAAGAAAGAAATTAAAGGGATACAAATAAGGAAAGAAGAATTCAAATATCCCTATCTTTTGATGATATGATTCTATATTTAGAAGACCTAAAAAACTCTACCAGAAAATTTCTAGAACTCATAAATGAATTCAACAAAGTATTAAGATATAAAATTAACACCCATAAATCAATTGTATTCCTATGCATTGGTGATGAATTAACTGAAAGAGAAATTAGGAAAACTATCCCATTCACAATAGCCTCAAAAAAAAAATAAAATATTTGGGAATCAACCTAACAAAAGAAGTGAAAGAGACCTCTACAATGAAAACTACAGAAAACTGAAGAAAGAAATTGAAGAATATCTTAGAAAATGGAAAGATTTCCCATACCCTGTTCTAGGATAAGCAGAATTAACATTGTCAGAATGGCCATACTACCAAAAGTGCTATACAGATTTAATGCAATTCCTATTAAGATTCTGATGACATTCTTCATAGAAATATAAAAAACCATCATGAAATTCACTTGGAAAAATAAGTGGCAAGCGTAGCCAAAGCCATCCTCAGCAAAAAAAAAAAAGTAAAGCAGGCAGCATCATAATACCAGACCTGAAATTATATTACAGAACTATAGTAACAAAAGCAGCATGATATTGGCACCAAAACAGACATGACAACCAATGGTACAGAGTAGAAGACACAGAGACAAACCCACATGAATACAGTTTTCTCATACTAGACAAAGGCACCATAAACACACATGAATAAAAAATAGCCTCTTCAACAATTGGTGCTGGGAAATCTGTAAATCCATATGTAAGTGAGCTAGTTTTATCATTCACATTTTACAAGTGTCAGAAATGAAATATTGAAACATTAAGAAATATCACTAAGGCCACAGAGCCATTAAATAACAGATCCCTGAAGCACAGCCTAGCTCCTCGTCTGTTTCAGAATAAGCCCTTGAGCTTATACCATTTTTCATGTCCTCATTTTTCACATCCTCTCCATGACTTCTTGGAGAATTGTAAGTTTTAGAATTATATAACATCCCATGAACTCTTCCTAACCTTGAATTTTATTTGGCTACTTGGTTTGATCCTTGCTATCCGGCTCT